CCCCAAGGCTTCTGTTTTTTAAATAAGTTTTATTGAAATATAATTAACAAATCATTTAATTTGTCCTAAGTGTACGGTTCAGTGGTTTTTATTATATTCACATAGTGGTACAACCATCACCACAACTTTAAAACATTTTCATGGGGCGCCTGGGTGGCTCAGTTGTTAGGCATCTGCCTTCGGCTTAGGTCATGATCCCAGAGTCCTGGGATTGAGCCCCACATCGCATCAGGCTCCTTGCTCGGCGGGAGGCCTGCTTCTCCCTCTCCCACTCCCCCTGCTTGTGTTCCTGCTCTCGCTATCTCTGTCAAATAAATAAATAAAATTTTAAAAAATTTCATTTTAAAATGATATTCTGATTCTGATCAGAATCATATATATACACACATACATATACATATACACTTTTTGAGTAACAATCTATTTCTATGCATTTATCCTTATGAAAAAATCAAAAGTGAAATGTATAAAGTGTTCACATATTGAAAATATTGGGGAAAGTCTACACATTATGCACAGGGATTCATTAAATAAATTACACTATAGATTCATATTATGGAATTTATGTACCCCTTAAAAGAATGATGTTTATCTTATTGATTGGTGATAGGATATATTAATGATATTAAGCAAAAGAATTAATGATATTAAGCAATTTCTTTTATATAAAATTGTACTCCCTCCCTGCCTATTGCACATATATAAACATACATATATATTTGTATTTTTATGTGTGTTTGTGTGTGTGTGTATGTATATTTGTCTGGCAGGATATACATCAAAATGTTACAGTGGTTATCTCTGGGTTGTAGAATTTCAGGAGATATTTATTTTCTTTATATTTTAATGTGTTGGTTTGATGTTTTGCAAGTATGATGTTTTTCCAACTCCAATATTTTCAGATAAAATTGCATGTAAAGTATGTTGACTTTACAACAGAAACACTACAGGGGCGCCTGGGTGGCTCAGTCAGTTAAGCATCTACTTTGACTCAGGTCATGATCTCGGGGTCCTGGGATGGAGCCTGGCATCAGGCTCCCCACTAGGGAGAGAGTCCACTTCTTCCTCTCCCTCTGCCCCTCCCCTAACTCGTGTTCTCTTTCTCTCAAATAAATAAAATCTTAAAGAAAAACACTACATGTGTCCATTTTAAATTTTATTGAAATGTTCAGAAAATACTTGTTAAAACTGAAAAAATGTAAACCTCTGATGAGGAGTGTAACACAAATACTATTCTCCTTAAGGACAAACTCTCCCCCCGGAGATTTTATTTTATTTTATTTTTAAAGATTTTATTTATTTATTTGAGAGAGCGAGAATGAGAGAGAGAGAGAGCGCACATGAGAGGGGGAAAGATCAGAGGGAGAAGCAGACTCCCTGCTGAGCAGGGAGCCCGATGTGGGACTCGATCCCGGGACTCTAGGATCATGACCTGAGCTGAAGGCAGACGCTTAACCGACTGAGCCACCAGGCGCCCCTCCCCCCGAAAATTTTAAATCCCCATAAGGGGGTTGTTGGGTTCATCGTACCATTGGTGCCTACTCCCGTGACAGTCAGTTAGGACCCAGGAATACAGTCATACTGCACAGAAGTGACCACCAGGGGCCTACCCCCACGTATCAGAGATTATCCGCAGAGAGGGGAAATTGATGCGAACCAGGCTGTCCCTCAGGTGGTGTCCACTCCAGAACCAGCGTGGAGGGCGTGGGCTCACAGGCCCAGAACAAGTCAGAGGTGGAAGAGAGCTCCGATCAGGGAGCAGAATCTGTGGCAGAGCGGCACTCATGCTCAGATCTCCTGACGGTGCAGCCGACTGTTACGCCACGAAGCTTATCTGGAGATCGGGAAGCGCTACAGAGGAGGTGTGGGTGGCAAGGGAGAATGGTAACTCCGGGCCAGAACCTCGCTGCCCGAGTGCACGGGATGCCACTGAACTGAACAAGTGCCAGGGCATATATATGTGGGCGTCTCCATTTTTGAGTTTTCAAACAGGAAAATCGTAATGTCAAAATATGTTTGTTGGGGCACCTGGGTGGTTCAGTCGGTTAAGTGTTTGCCCTCAGCTCAGGTCATGATCCCAGGGTCCTGGAATTAAGCCCCACATTGGGCTCCCTGCTCAGTGGAGAGCCTGCTTCTCCCTCTCCCTCTGCCTGCCTGCCTCTCTGCCTACTTGTGCTCTTTCTCTATCTCTCTGTCAAATAAATAAATAAAATCTAAAAAAAAAAATGTTTGTTTTCCAGCAAGCTTTGGAAGCACAGTCCATTCCATAGGAGTTACTTTTTGACAAAAAGTAGGGAATTTATCCTGATTGCAAGAAAAAATGTGGACTCCCTACTTTTCTAAAGTTGCTTGTGGAAAAAAGAGGACACTTCTGGAAATACATGTTCAGAGTGTGGAATAGCTTCTGTGACTGGTGCAAAGCTCCAAACTGTTTTCTTTAGTATGTATGGTATGCAGTAGGGAGAGGCTAGTACATTTCAGTAAAATTCCAAGAAAGGGCCATTTCAGCAGAACTAATTTTAAGGAACAACAGAATATACCACTGGAAGTGAATGGGGTTCGTTTAGCAGAAAAAGCATGATGGCAGTCTTTTGATTGCCAAACAATAATGGTTGTTCATATTGGACATTAATTTTTTTTTTTTAATTTTCCAAGCTATCTGCCAGGTGGGGGGGTTCTGTCATACTACTGACACATTCAGCAAGAATATGTCTATTTGCTTATAAAATCATGCTCATGTGATTTTTTTTTTTTAAAGATTTTATTTATTTATTTGAGAGAGAGCATGAGAGTGGGGAGGGTCAGAGGGAGAAGCAGACTCCCCACCGAGCGGGGAGCCCGACGCGGGACTCGATCCCGGGACTCCAGGATCATGACCTGAGCCGAAGGCAGTCGCTTAACCAACTGAGCCACCCAGGCGCCCTCATGTGATTTTTTAATTCACATCAGAAGTGTGTGCTTTTGTTTCCCGCTAATTACTTCCCCATTATTGCATAATTACATAGTTACCCTCTGTTCTTTCATGGGATTCTCAAAACCTCTGCTTAGGATCATTCCTTATAAGTCAGTTTACAGTGTAATCAAAACTTACCCTTTTTCTTTATTCTGAAACTAGAGAGACAGAATGCAACACATGATCTAGGATTTTTTTTTTTTTTTTGCTATAAAGACATTATTAGGACAATTGGCAAAATCTAAATAAAGTCTGTAGACTAGATATTAGTATTCTGTTGGTTTCCTAGTTTTGAAAATTGTTCTGTAGTTATGTAAAAGAATATCTTTGTTTTTAAGAGAGACACACTGATGTATAAAGGTACATCATAGCTGCACCTTACTCAGATGGTTCATGAAGAAAATTCTCCATTGTTCTCTCTCTACACACACACGTACACACCCATACCCACACCACACAATTACTTTTTCCTGAACCGATTGAGAGTAGGTTGTATACATTCTCTCCCTTTATCTTTGTCTTAGTCAGCTTGGGCTGCCATAAGAAAATACCATAGACAAGATTGCTTAAACAACAGATATTTGTCATGGTTCAGGAAGTCCAAGATCAGGTTGCTGGCAGATTGAGTTCTTGGTGAGGGCGTTCTTCCTGACTTGTAGATAGCTTTCTCATAGTGTGTTCACAGAGCTGTTCTTCAGTGGAGCTCTCTGCCTTCTCCCCCACATTATCGGGCCCATCCTCATGACCTAATGTAAACCTAATTACCTCCCAAAGGCCCTACTTTGAAACAGCAACACACTAGAGCTTCAGTATATGAATGAGGTGGGGGGAGACATATTCAGCCTATAACATTCTGCCCATTATCCCCCTAAAATCATATTCTTAATGCATGCAAAATACGTTCATTCTGCCCTAGCAACCTCAAAAGTCTTAACTCATTCCAGCATCAGCTCTAAAGTCTATAGTCCAAAGTCTCATCTAAATATCATTTACATCTGATATGAGTGAAACTCGAGATACAATTTATCCTAAGACAATTCCTCTCCAGCTCTGAGCTCGTGAAGCCATGTAAGTTATGTGCTTCGAAAATACTGTGGTGGGACGGGCAGAGGATAAACATTTCCATTCCAAAAGAGAGAAATCAGAAGGAAGAAAGGGGTGATGGGTCCCAACCAAGTCCAAAATTTAGCAAGGCAAATTCCATGAGATCCTAAGGATCAAGAATAATCCTCTTTGGTTTGATGCTATGCCCTCTGGACCCATTGGGATGGGAGTCACTACCCTCTACCCCCTATGCTTCAGGCTTCCTTTCTGAGGCACTTACCTATTGATTCTATCTGAAGTGATGGTCCCCCACCTTTGAAACTGAGAAGGGTACCCTGATGATATCTGAATTGTCTTTGGAATTATTCTTTTTTGTCTTTAAAATAGCATACATTCACAGCGAAATAGCTCTGTGGTCCAGTCCTGTAGGATCTAAGAATTCCTAACAGCCTGTAGCACATGGTTTCAAGCATCTGATGGTTCCACAAGGCTTGTTATGAAATATACAGCAGTCTTCTGCTCTCTTCTACTCTTTTTCCATCTTCTTTTTGGTGTTCACCTCCACATTCTAAAATGCTTATTTTACTGCCTTTTGACTTCTCACAGTAAACATTATTTATTATTGCCTTATTGCTGTCAGAAGATTTGCAGTCCTTCTCTAGGGGAGGATTCTTGTTGGAAAGACTGCGGCAAGAAGTTTAGTGTTAGAAGGATAATTGGGGTGTGGAGAGGGTCTTGGTGGCGGGGAGACCAGACAGGAAGGGGAGGGTATTATAGTGGTCCAATGAAGGAAGAGGCACTGAGGGTTTTTTAAAATTGAGGAGTAACATACATTCAGGTAAGTGCATAAAATATATCATGCTCCATGACTTTTTACCTGTGTGTGTACTGTGTCTCCAATACCTCTGTCAAGATGTAGAACATTTCCAACCTCCTTAAAATTCCCTGGTGCCCCACAAGAAGGTCTTGAACCAAGGCACACAAATTCATTACTGGATCTAGAATGAAGTCTGAAAATGAGGTGGAGCTAAAGAAGACTCCAAAGCTGGGAGACTGGGTAGACTGGGTGGTGATGCTGCCAACCAGGTGGGTGATACAGGAGGATAATCTGGTTTTAATTGAGGAAGGAGTGAAGATGGTGAGAGAAGTTCAGCTTTAGACTTGTTGAGTTGGGATGTCCAAGTGGAACTTAGAGGTGGCAGGTCGAAATGTAAATTTGGAGTTCTGGGGAAAATTTGGAATTGACATGTAGATTTGTGCATACTTACCAGCATTTACAGTCTGTTTGAGAGCTAGCAAGCAGATGACAGTTCTCTAGAGAGGCTGTAGGTAGAGACCTGAGGTTATCATGAGAGGCATATGTTGCTTTTATTAACTCTGTTTTAGTCCTAATAGTGAATAAAATCAGTGAGAAAATTCATTTTAAACATTTTTAAAACAAAATGATAAATGAAAATTCAGTATGTGTACTCTGGTAAAAATGAAAAAGCAAATTGGTTCAGAGGGTTATAAATAGGAAGTAGGCGTTCTACCTCTATCCCACTCCCCACTCCAATTTGTGTCTCCTTCCAGATGATTTTAATGCATATATATTGTTTATGGTTTATCTTGATTATACCTTTCCATTATTGCTTTGGTTAAGAGTCTTTTTTCAGCTGTTTAATAAGTGTAGTTGATGGTCTACAGGCATGTGAACAAAATGGCTTATTGGTTTGGTTTTTTCCCCTCTCCTCTTCTTGTAATGTGTTTTATGGTGATGTGCTTATGATTTTGACTGAAAAAAAAAAACTTCTTTGACCTTTTTTTCTTTTGCATTTGCTTGAAAAAAATATTACTTTTCAAGCAAACTATCTTGGTTTTCGTTGGAGTACTTAAATCTTCCCTTGATTAATAATACTAGCACTGTTACACTCTTGTCTGTTTAATGTGAGCAGACTGTTTTTTTTTTTTAACCTGGAGGGAGTGATAAGCTAATTTTTTTCTTGATTGCCTTGTTGACAGTGTAATTCTTGTTAGAATGAATGAAAGGCCTCTTAAGAGCCCTCTTACTTCGTGAATCCAGAATATGAAATACCCTGGAAGAGTTTGTAGCCCATGTTTTGTTTAGTGTGAATTTGACCTCCAATGTAGTTGAGACCAAAAGGTATTAGATGTGGGTTCTGGAAATGTCCTAATATTAATTGTATAGTCACTGTAACTTGTTTAAACCCTTCTGTTACAGGGTACTTATTGTTGAAAGAACAAAAAGCATAATGTGTATTTTCATTCATTCAACAAATGCTTATTGAGCTTCTATAAGGTGCCACTTTCTGTAATACTAATAGTAATAAAAGGAAACATTACTGAGTACTTACTATTTGTTAAGCACTTAATGAATACTATCCTGAGTGCTAGATGTGTGCTAATGAGCAAAATAAGCCTGGTGCTTTCCCTTATGGAACATTATACATGTATAAGATGGTAATACTACTATTCTTTTCCATTTTTTATTTAGATTCAATTAGTCAACATATAGTACATCATTAGTTTCAGATGTGGTAATACTACTGTTTTTATTTGAATCATGTCAAATAAAATTTAGCATCAGTAATTGAAGATCAAGTGATTTTTTTTCTCTGATTTCTAAGATTTTGTCAACTACCAGAGGTTTGCCTATCAGTTGGCCTGTACATTCTCACCCTGAATGATCAGAGTGACCTGTGTTTTGACTGAGGCTGTTTTCCAAAAGTTACTTTATAGATGAATCTCAGTTCCTTAAAATGCAGTTAATTTAAAGTGACACTGTGATAGAATCACAATATTTAAAAGCAAACTAATGATTTAACTTCCTCCTTCCTAGACCGTCCAGCCAAGTGTATGAATATACTTGGTCGTGCTGGTTTGGGTGTGTCTCAGATCAAGGCGGATATCTTTTAAAGGGATCCACCCACAGCATTCCTGACATATACATCTGTCACACAATTGTTAGAGACTTAGAGCTCTGAAAGTTGCCTTACTTTTTACCAGTATGTTCCATTGAGAGAAAACAGTTTCAGAGTTAAGGAGAGTTGGGTACTGGTATTAAATACAGTGTTCTTTTAGATACAGTTTTTTAAAGAGATGATCAGAATATTATTTTTGTTGTGTTTAAATGTTTTTGATTTTGCTTTGTCCAGCTTAATAGCTTGTTTATATGCTATATTATTAATTTTTAAACAATCTCTTCAGTTATTGGCTCACTTCTAGCTATTCTGTTCTAAACACATTGCAACCTGCTCCTGCATAAAAGTTTAAGTAGTAAACATTGACACAGATTTCCACCCCTTTGAGGAAGAGATTGATGAAGACCTGTATCAGTTTTTCAAATAGTTTTCAGAAGTTCTTTAGGTCATCAAATTGAAGCAGTGACAGCGGATTCCAGGGATCATGCCTATCTGAAAGGCTTTCCCTTGTTAAGAACAACTATTTCTTTTCCAGCTATTCTAACTTGCAGCATTCAGGTAGCTTTCCCCAAAGAATATTATTGGGATATAATATTCTAAAATATATTTAACCCTTGGATCAAGTTGCCTCAGAGGCCAAGAAAGCATCTTTTATTCTTTCATAATAGGGGCCTTTCATAACTCTAGTACAGTCCTCAGTTGAAAATATGTTCCTGGTAAATAGTGAACAAGCATCCTCACTGCAGTTGGCTATTTCAAAGTTAAGATTAAAGTTAACACACAAATTTCTCTGATGAGATTTTTCCATAAAAGATTTCCATTAAGATTGGCCAAAAAGTAAAAAGCTTTAAGCTCTGGGATCAAAAGTGCAGTAGCTTGGTATCTGTATGTTAAAATTCAAGTATCCCAAAGGATGAAACCAGGGATAATCTTAAAAGTGGAAATGGATACTTAGGTCAAGTGAAGGGGGACAGAATGATTTCATGACAGTTACTGATCACTCTTAACTGCTTTTCCCCTTTGTGTTGCATTTTACTTTCTGCTTCTGTACAGTGCTGAACCACTGTTATGTAAGCATTTTACTTTTATGCATTATTTATTTATGTTATCACAACAGAGGCTGTTAATAAACCACAGATTACCACAGGGGCCTAGTGCTGGACATTATTTGGAATACGACGGCTGGTGGCTTTAAGACTATAGAGCAGGAAAAAAAAGACTGTATGGCAGGAAAACATAAATATTTTAGTTTATTCTAGGACTGGTTTACTTTGACTACTTCATTTGTAAGCTAATATACTATTTTTCAGGATAGGCTTTTTCTTTGTTGATTCATTTTTTTATCGGCTTTATTAGAACAAAGGAAATTTTACACGCTCCAACCATAGTGCTTTAAGATCTAGTTAAAAAATCAAATAATGACAAAGCAGTTCCTTCTCTGTTTTCCTTTCTTTACTGTTTATTTAAAGTATATATAACTTATAATATTTCTGTTGAAAAAAATTATGCCCTGATAGATCTTAGTGGATTTTTTTGACTGTTAGAGAATTCTGAAGTTATGCAGATCTGTAAGGAATTAGGTTTTAAGTAGTAATCTTTTTTGTGGGATCGAAATAAATATTTTTAACCTCTGTTTTAGATCCATCATGTTACACAAAATGGAGGACTTTACAAAAGACCATTTAATGAAGCTTTTGAAGAAACACCAATGCTGGTTGCTGTGCTTACTTATGTGGGGTATGGTGTACTCACTCTCTTTGGATATCTTCGAGATTTCTTGAGGCATTGGAGAATTGAAAAGTGTCATCATGCAACAGAAAGAAAAGAACAACAGGTAATTGTTAAGAGTCTTCAATTCTGTAAATGGAAGCCTTTTATAGACATTCTGGTATTCTCACTCATTTTTTTATTTAGAAATCTGGATACACGTGGGGCGCCTGGGTGGCTCAGTCGGTTAAGTGTCTGCCTTTGGCTCAGGTCATGATCCCAGGGTCCTGTGATCGAGCCCCACACTGGGCTCCCTGCTCAGCGGGGAGCCTGCTTCTGCCTCTCCCTCTGCTGCTCCCCCTGCTTGTGTGCGCTCTCTCTCTCTCAAATAAATAAATAAAATCTTAAAAAAAAAATTTGGATACATGTTAAAATAAAAATATTCCAGATGCAGTTAAATGAAAGTATTTCACAAAGAAAGCAGAAAACAAGGTTAAGGCATGGAAAAATCAAAGCATTTAACGTATTTCTTTTTTTATTTTTTAAAGGTCTATTTTTTTTTTTTTTTTAAGATTTTATTTACTTATTTGACACACCGCAGGAGAGGGAACACAAGTAGGGCAAGTTGGGAGAGGGAGAAACAGGCTTCCTGCTGAGCAGGGAGCCCAGTGTGGGGCTCAATCACAGGACCCTGGGATCATGATCTGAGCCTAAGGCAGATGCTTAACGACTGAGCCACCCAGGCGCCCCTAAAGGTCTGTTTCTTTGTTTGAGAGCGAGTGCACGTGCATTGGCGCTGAGGGGAGGGGCAGAGGGAGAGAGAATCTCAAGCAGGCTCCCTGCTGAGCGCTGAGCTGGTTGCTGAGCTGGGCTCCTGGGCTCAGTCCCAGGACCCTGAGATCATAACCTGAGCTAGAACCAAGAGTTGGATGCTCAACCGATTGAGCCACCTAGGCACCCCACATTTAACATATTTCCAATTTAATCATCACAAGAATCTATTCCTGTTTGATGAATGAGAAAGCTAAAATGCACAAGTTAAAATAACATTTCCTGAGTTACTTAGTGTCAGAGCTGGTACACAGACATGGGTCTGTGAAATGCCAGAAGCCATTTTCTTTATGTTCGTGGTATTGTGCTGTATCCCAAGCTGTGGCTCCAGTCTTCTGAGAAGACAAATTCTGGAAGACTCATATGATATGTTTTCTCATAGACACATTATACATAGGTGTTTGGCTCACAGATCGCTCCTTTCCCCAAACAAACCTGAAAACAGAATGTGGCTGAGCTACTCCGTTCACAGTTTAAAAAACCAAAAAACAAAAAAAGCAGTCTTGTTTTAATAATTGTAAATAGAGATGATAATGATTGTCTCTGGGGGGAAGGACCTCACTTCACTTTTCTCTGTATACTCCTTTGCACCTCTGGAGTTCTGTACAGGATACATGTGTTGCCTACTCTCAAAAATAAATAAAATTAGAGTGAAATGCCTGGTTTTTCTAAAAACAAACTTGTTTGTTCTTGGCATGTAAAGTATGGAGAGGTTGTCCTCTAGCCCAAGGAATATACTAGGTTAGAGAAGGGCTTCCGAAGTTAGATTTTTTTGGCCATCATACCTCTCATTTTTGTGGAGTATTAGAGGAGAGAGGCAGATGTGATGGCAGCAAGGTCACCACTGAGAGAGGAGCCATTAGATACTGGGAATGGGTGGTGGTCCTGTGGGGGGAAGGGCAAGGGAGCATCTAGAAACATGGGGAAAGAAAGGATCCAAACCAGTCAGTATGGGGATTGAAGATTCTGGTCCTGGGAGAACCCAGGATCCAGGCTCTCTTCTGTCTCATCTCAGCCATTCTGCACCATTCCCAGCCCCAGCACCACAAGTTGGTCCTCCTTCTCATTGCCCTGAAATGCCTACATATTCATTTCATCAAGAAGGTATTTCTTGAATACCTAATGCAAGCAAAGCCCTGTATTCAGAGCTTGGTCCAGTGGGCCAAACTAGTTTTGATCACTGAAAACCAGAACAAATTTTTAAATTTTTTGATTCTTCCTTTTTTCTACCTCTGTACATCCCAAATAGACTTTGTGGCTAGAGTGCATCGACAGTATGTTGATTCTGTACATCGCTCAGGTGTGACCCACTTACTATAAGTTAGAGCTTACTGTATACTTGCGGGGTTGTCTGGTATTACAGTTACTTGTTCACAGGCCAGTATCTTCCTGTCAGACTGAGTTGATGGTGGTTGTGACTGATGGGAGCTAAAGTTTTATTCCCATATTCAAATTAGAAAATCTTTATTTATAGGGACCTCTCCTAGTGTGGACACACTGTAGGGACCTGCTAACTAACATGTGAAGGTGGGCATCGGGGGTGTTGATTGTGATGTGGAGAGCCATCCTGGCTGAGGGGAGGCATGAGGGATGTTTGGGAGAACCTGGAATGTGGGTGTATGAAAGATTGTGTTTTGAATGTCAAACGAACTTTGGTAGGCAATGAGGAATCTGGGTGGTTTTTGCATAGGGGTGTGACAGGAGAGATTGCACAGCTGGTGTTTTGTCAAAGTGTGGTGAAGAATGAGTGAACAATGGAGTTGTATCCAAATTACTTTGTGAAAAAGTACATTATGTTTGGAACTTATTTCATGTTCCAGAGGATGAATTGACTCCTGAGTATTGTGACGGCCTGTGTGTACTTGACCTTTGTATTAAAGTATTAGACCATATAGATTTCATTCTTAAGTATTATTTCTGACTTTGTTGAGGAAACATAAAGTGTTCAAATCTAACAGGTCTTCGTAAAAGCCCTATACAGGTAAGTAGTGTTTGAGTTGTATGCAGGTGTAGAACAAAAAAATAACTGAGTGGCATTGAGTTAATCAGGAAATAATTCTTGGAGGAAGAAGTAAAAGGAGGAAATATGTGGGACAGAGGGGGACATTTGCTAATTTAAAGGACTGTGCTAATTTATTCAAAATCATTTCAGTAGGCTTTTCACAGTAAATAACATTAACAGTTAAACCAACTGAATTCTGCCATTTTCTTACAAAAATTCAGCTTTTCGAGGGAAGGAAGATCATTCAGCCTTATGGTAGAACATGTTTGTTTTCTGATTCTGGATTAGATGTAGTGAGAGGGATATGCAGATTTTAAGGTGTTACACTGGAAGAGGTTAGGGAAAGTGCCTGGTTGGGATCATAAAATTCAAATAGAATGTTGCCACTTCCTCATTTCACTGCGTTAATGGTGTTTATAACCACATCCTTATTTTCTTCCTCATTCCATTATAAAAGAGAGTCCATCTTAACTGTTTATGCTGGATCTTCATATGTTGCTTTGGGTAGAACTGAGTCCCATGGTCCCACTATAAAGATAAGTTAGGGGCGCCTGGGTGGTTCAGTTGGTTAAGTGTCTGCCTTAGGCTCCTGTTTTGTTCCTGGGGTTCTGAGACCAAACCCCAACCCCACATCAGGGTTCCTGCTCAGCGGGGAGTCTGCTTCTCTCTCTCCCTCTGCCCCTCCCCCCATATGTGCTTTTTCTTTCTCTCAAATAAATAAAATCTTAAAAAAATAATAAAGTTAGCAAAAGAAAAATCTAAAATTTTTAAAAAATAAAGATGAGTTAGCTGTATTTTGGTTTTATATATATTTCTCATGAAAGCATTTTGAAACTCCCATGACAGCTTTGGTAGTAAATACCTGAAAATGTAAAGAAGTGATCTACTCTGCTAAACCTGGCCATCCGGTGGAGCTCATTAGAGACAGCACATGATGGCTGGCCAATACTCTGCTCCTATTTACTACACATTCCATTTTGACCATTAGGAGTCTAGTGAATCAGCTTTGCATCCGTTTGTCCTCTGCCAGATCATTCTCAGTAGCATAGACATGTTGTTTTTCCCATCTTAAAAAACAAGCTTTCTCTTGATCCTTTCTCCTCCATCTACTCCATGCCTTCTAACATTATTTATTTAATTTATTTAATTTTTTTTTAAGTAAGCTTTACGCCCAGTGTGGGGCTTGAACTCACAACCCCAAGATCAAGGGTCTTGTTCTTGTTCTACCATGTTCTACCGACTGAGCCAGCCAGGCACCCCTCTTTTTTCCTTGTACAGTAAAATTCTCTGACATAGGTGTTTCCAGTGTCTTGCTTCCCATTCTTTACTGAACTCACTCCAGTCAGGATTTTGCCCCTACCACTTCAACTAAAACGATTCTTCTCAGGATCACCCGTGACACCTGTGTTGCAGAATCTCATATTCCTTACTCAGTCTTTACCTTGTTTGGCCTGCCAGCAGCATTTGACACAATTGATCACTCTCCTTCCAGAAGCATTTTGCTTACTTGGTTGGTTTTCAGGCATTATACTGGCCTGGTTTTTCTCCTGCCTTTCTCATTCTCTCTTCCTAGATCCTTATCATCAGCCCAACTTCTAAATGTTGATATGGGTACGGCATTGGCTTCATCCTTGGTCCTTATCTCATCTGTACGGACTCTTTTGGTGATTTCGTCCATTATCATGGCTTTTGGTACCTTTGTATGCTGATAACGTCCATGTTTATATCTCTAGCACTGACTTCCTCACTGAACTCTACACCTGGGTATCTAGCTGCCCATTTGACGTCTCCACACAGGCATCTCAAACTTTACATGTCCAAAACTAAGCTGACATCCCCTCCTGAACAGCTGGCTATCTTCCACATCTCTATGGATAACAGTTCTCTTCTTCCGTTGCTTAGGCTGAAAACCGCAGTGATATCCTTGACTCTTCTTTCTGTCACACGCCACGTGTAGCCCATCAGGAAATCCAGATTCAACTACTTATCAACCTGGACATCATCTCCTCCTTAGCCTGTTGCTCATCTGCTCCAGCCACACTGGCCTTTTGGAGTTCCTTGATAAACCGGGTACATTCCCGCCCAACTGCTGTTGTATTAGCTGTTTGCCTACCAGGGAAGCTCTTCCTCCAGATGGTCAAATGGAGAGTTCCCTCGCTTCCTTTTCTTTTATTCTACTGTGGCCACCCTAGCTAAGTTTTAGCATGGCTCCAGCATTTTACAGCCCCCTTCCTTATCTGATTTTTGTTTCCATTAGCATTTTTCACCGTTTAAGATACTTTATACATTTGTCT